CCCACCCCCATCCCGCCAGTACTCCCACCCTCTCTACCCTCTGATTTCCTAACTGCGCCTGCCTCCTACTTGCCAATCCCAACCAGAAGCCAGAGACCCAGGCAATACAGCCAATAGATATTAGCTTCCTGGGGCACAGAGCAGGCTGGGGATTGGATCTGGGGAAAATGGAGACTCTACATGCCTAAGGTCCCATGGTTGGGAAGGGCTGGTTTGGAACAAAGGTGATCTGGACCCAACATATGTTCCCTGAGATGTTTCAAAGTGCTGTCTGGGAAAGGGGTTGAGGGGAACCAGGTTGGGGACAGAAGACTGGATTCTAGTCCAAGCTCTACTGCACTGCTCTGTGACTGAATAAGACTCTGGACCTCAGTTTCCCCATTACACGAAGAGGAGGTGGGTGCCACTCTGGGACAGCCAAGGTGCCCAGACCAGGCAGAGCCTGTGTTCCCACTGCCACCCTCTCTCTTACCTCAAATAACCTGGCACCAAAGGCTGAGGCCCCAATGTGGAGACTTGGAGTCCATGAGAAAGCCATCCCAGATGCTGGGCAGACACACCCGCTCCTCTGCCCTGCTTAGGACTCAGAGATGTTCCAGGTAAACTACTTCAGTCTCCCTGAGGGCCCCAGCGCCTAGGTCTCCTCCCTTTGCACTGCCAGCATTCCCTGGCCCACAGCTCAGAACCCCACCCCAGGACTCCTCCCAGTGAAGAGGTACAGGGCCCTACCTAGGCCAGCACCTTCACAGACCCTTCATCGGGGCATCAAGGGCATCTCTGACCACTGAGATCTCTATTCTGGTAGACTATTCTCCTCTCTCCCCTTCCCACCCCACCCAACTCTACTCCACCCATGCTTCCCCAAGCCTGGGGGGCCCCACCCAGATTTTCAGACAAACAAAATCAAGGAGAAAGAGTTAGCAAGGAGGAGGGAGCTTATTACCAGAAATTAAGGAGGAGGCATGCCCTGGGGTTAGATGAGAGGGATTGGGCGTGGGGGGGTGGGGGGAGTCGGAGGGGGATGTCACTCCTAGGTACATGCAGAGATGGGCTCCAAGGTATACAAGACGTTCCCTTGTAAGTACACAAAGAAAAACCCAGACACAAAGAGTCAGGTAGTGACAAAGATGGAGACAGAGACATGGTGGTCCAGAGGCACAGACCCACAGACATACTGAGAGAAAGACAGACACACTCAGAAGCCCTGGGAAGTGCACACTTGTATGTGTGCACAAGGAAACGGGAACCAAGTTCAGGGTTCAGGGAGACTAATTTCAATCCAAACAGGTAGGTCAGAACTTTAAGGACACATGGGCTCCTCCAAAGTGGGCTGTGGAAAGCACTCAGCTCTGGAAGAAGGGACAGAGATGAGGTGTAGGTTTTGCCTACCCTCCCACAGGGTGATTCTCCTTCCAAATCCACCTTGGAAAATAGATTAAGATACTTTTCCTAAAGAAGGTGAAGAGATTTCTTTCTAGAACTTGCTATCAGCCAGAACAGCTAGCCAGAGGCATAGCCTGGAAGTGTGTGGGGAGGTGAGAAGTTTTCCTCCAGCCCCTGGTACACACTACTACTTATCTCAGGTCCTTACCAGACCCTGCTCTGCCTCACTGCTCCTGGCCAAGCCTTGCCTTTCTCATACCAGCTGACCCTCCATCCAACACGTTCCCTTGGCTGTGTGCTGCTCTGCCTTCCACACCTGTGTGTGTGGCCCCCTCTTATGTCCCCCTTCAATCTTACTCCAAAAGCCTCCTCTAGTCAGGGCACAGCAAGCCATCCCCCCTCTTTTCTCCCCCCCCTCACCCTCACCCCCAGGAAATTCAGAGTCCGTGAAAGGAATCTGATGCAGAAGACGATGTTGAATTCAATGACCTCTAAATACAGCTGTCAGCATCTCCCCTTCACCACCATCACCCTTCCCCAGCTCCGCAGGAAGAACCATGAGGTAAGGTGGCATTGACTATTTATCATCCACTGGTAATGGTGCTAAGTCTTTTTCATGAATTCTCTTCCATTACTTCCTCCTCTCAATATCCCCTAATTCACAGATGAGGAAACTGAGGTTCAGGGCAAGAAATGACCACCACCAGGTCACACAACTAGAGAGAAGCTAAGCTGGGCCTGGAATACAGGTTTGACTTTCTTTAACCACTGCACCAGAAGGCAACCCACCACCCCCTGGGCTGACTGGTCAAGGTCAACAGCAGGATTTGAGAGGAAAGGATGATGGAAAGGCATGGGGCATGCTGGGGAAGACAGCAGGGCGGGACACTAAAGGTGGCTGGAATGAAACGCTGAAGCCACATTCCCCTCCCAAGGCTTGCCCTTCCTCCCCCAGGGCCTGGGAAGGGGACACTCCCTCTGGCATGCTTCCCTCCAACATTCCATACACTCCTCCTGGGAGCTGGAGACAAAGAGGAGGTAGAGACCTGAGAAGGAACCCCCTTCTCCCACCCCCACCCCCAGTACTAGCTGTGTGACCCTGCATTTGCCACCCACCCTCTCTGAGCTATGGTCTCCTCATCTGTGAAATGGCTGGGGAGCAAGAGCTGGTTTAGCTTCTAAAACCCACAGTTCTCCTGCCAGACACAAGGATCTTCTGGCACCCATGGGGTTAACTCTGCAGGAGGGCTTGGGTTGGGGCCACCTTCCCTTTTATTCATAGTGAAATTTGAGGAGGATTGGGTAAGGAAGGAGAAGGTAAGAAGGGGCATGTGATCATCTAACAGAGCTTTCTGGGCTCAGGTGTGCCAAACCCCTTGCCTTCCTGTGCAGTCAGGGTGCCAGAGTCACTCAGTCCAACCCCAGCATTATAGGACTCAGGTATGCCTCAGACTGAAGAACTGAAACGGAGCAGGAGACAGATGAATGCCGCTGTGGTCTCTGGGCTTGAACAACTGACTATAGAAGATAATGGAGGAGTGGGGATGGCTTCCTGGAGGAGGAGGCATTAGAGCAGCAGGTCAGGAGGGTTTTACTGAGTGGACACTTTGGAGCAAAGGTCCAAGAATAGGAAGGCACAGGAGCACACAGAGTAGTCTGGGGTGGATGGAGCATTGTGAGGGCATGGGTAGGGCCAGGGGCCAGGTCTTGGAGGGCCTGAATGCAGAATGGGAAGTTTTGGATTGTCTCTGGACAGTGGGGAAAGCCGTGGAAAGAGGCCCACTTTCAGCAGGGGTTTTAGAACCATCTGTCTGGTTGCTGCAATAGATTCACTGGGGCAGGCCTAGAGGCACGGAAGCTGCTAAGGAGCTATGACCAAGCTTTGGGTGGATTTTTGTTTTTAAAGCTCTGGGTGGATTTTGATGGAGTCTGAACAGCTACAAGCTGTAGAGGACAATATAGGCTCCCAGTGATTGGATTCCACTGGTAACAGGGAGCTCATTATTTCCTGGGTAATGGGGCAGCTCTGCCTGGGAGAAAGTTCTTCCCTAAGTCAGGCTCAAGTCTGTCTTCCTGGGGTGATGGGGGAGTGCAGGGATCAGAAAGGAGATGCCATTCACTGTGCCAGGGCTCCCAGGAAGATGGAAGCTTGGGGAAAAGTGAGAACGCTGAGTTCAAGCTGAGATGAAGAGCCTCCCCGAAGAGCCTCTCTGACCTGTCTGTGTGCCCCCTTCCCCAGGGTACCCTGGCCAGATTAAACCCTTAGCTGGGCAACCTGGGTATCTGTGGCCAGATACACTGAAGCTCTTTAACTGGCCCCAGGAAAACAGCGGAACAAGCAGAGAAATATTGATACAATTGGCAGTTTTAGGCATATATTTTATTGTTTTTTATAAAAGGCAAAAGTACACATGTTGAATGGAGGATTAAAAGAGTGAAGACCCTGTTTAGAATAGAGTCTCCAACCCCCATGCCTAGAACTATAACATCTGCTATATTAAAAAACACACACACACAAAACCCCAGCAAATATGAAACTTATGACCTGGACTTCACCCCACCCCCTCATGCCTACATTATGGCAAAACACATATTCAGCACTTATATACAGTCAAAGGTCCACACCTGGGCTGTGGGCCCCCCCCCC